TATCTCTAGTTGCAGGATGTGTCCGGACTAGCTGCTGGCAACCTGCTTTTCAAGCCATGTGGACATCCCCTCCCATCCACACAGTCCTGGTCACCACCCCGCCCCACACAATCTAGCAGCAGCCAGCTAGCCAAAAGGACTCGGCACCTGTCACTGAAACTGACCCGGCAAGCCCCTCCTCCCTGCAGGATGAGTCACGCCACCTCGGGTGGTGGCCAGCTTTATCGGGCCAAGATAACTGGCCACCATTCAGCAGGGCTCCCACACATACGACTGCTATGCTAACAAACCAACCTATCACATCAGAGCCATAAAAGGACAAAGCTACCCAAAGGGGAGGGAGGGAGGGAGGGAGAACTACACCACACTGTGTGCCCCCCCCCCCATTTAGCAACAGCATCCTGCAGAGCTTCAAGGAGCAAGCACAGGAGCAGTTCACGCTTCGGCCTGGCCTGGACCCAACCAGGGCAGAGAAGGGCAGCGCCCCAGGGGCCCCCTCATGAACAGTCCACGGGTCTGTCTGCCTCCTCTCGTGTCTTAATCACTCCCAGAGCCAAGCACAAACCGGTTTTTAGCCCTAAAAGGCAAGAAACGAGGAGCCCTTGAACACCCACCCCCCTCCCACCCCGTGCGCTCTCCCTCGGAGGGGTGCTGGCGCTCCGTGGGCCTGCACCGATGCACCAGCAAAGAGCCTGACGGGGTGGGCCACCTCCTGGCAAGGGCTCGGGTGTGACTCTAGCAGCAGGCCGGCAGACAAGAGCGAGAGACTCCTCCGTGCCCAAGGACACTGGCCGTAAATTAAGCCACAAAACACACAGCGGCAGGAGCAGTCGCCAATCCACAAGTGGCTCATTCATTCCATTTCGAGGCTGGGGAAACAGCCCTCCCGAAGGCCCCATTCAAGAGCGGCCACATACGCTCTGCCTCTCTCCGACATGAGAGAACCAACCAGCCATCTCAGAGGCTGAAGGGACCGGGCCGCCACGCGGGCTTTTCTGCTGTCTCTGTGACCAGGCGGCAGGCAGTGTGTCCAGATGACCCCTCCCCGCCTCAAAACCCCCCCCCCCCCCCCGGACAATGCGAAGTTTTAGGCCAACAGATCTGCCCTGCCTCCTGGCCAGCGACAGGGACAGCAGCCCAGCCCCACACCTGGAGAGCCAGTTTGGCGTAGTGGTTAAGTGCGCAGACTCTAATCTGGGAGAACCGGGTTTGTTTTCCCACTCCTCCACTTGCACCTGCTGATGTGACCTTGGGTCAGTCACAAGCTCTGGCACAGCTGTCCTTGAAAAAGAGCAGTTTCTGTCAGAGCTCTCTCAGCCCCACCCACCTCACAGGGTGTCTGTTGTGGGGAGGGGAAGGGAAAGGAGTTTGTCAGCCGCTCTGAGACTCCGAGTGAAAGGGCGGGGTATAAATCCAATCTCTTCCTCTTCTCCTTCTTCATCACCTGGCTATCACGCCCCACAGATTTCAGGGAGCTTCTAAGAGTCCCACCCCACTCACAGCCACCGTCTCCTTTTCCCTTGAAACCCCACCCGGCAGATGAAGGGCTGTCCCCACTACAAGGGCTCAAGAGGGGTTGGCCACGCACCCCGTTATTCACAGCCCAGCGGAGTCTCCAGGCGCCCAAGGGCAGGCCTCCCTCACGGCTCCCCGAGGCTCAAAGGCCTGCTCGGCTCCTACGGCAAAGCCCTGGGGCTCCACTCTGGCAGTGTTTGCCAGCCGCCCAAGCAGGAGGCCAGGGAGCACGCCCTGATCCGGTTAAGCAAAGCCTCCCTCCTCCTAATCACCCGCCGGCTTCACAGCCAGCCCAGCGGCAGAAATGCCAGCGCCAGTGTTTGAGATTAGCCTCCAGGAGGGGCACTGATCTGGGGATTACGCTCCTCTCCCTGCGCTTTAATCTGTCCCCCTCCTTGCGGAGAGCAGTGGGGGGGGGAGACGCTGGGTAGGACTGGCCCTTTCTTCTCTGGGAGGGGCACAAGGCGGGCCCCGGGGGAGCCTGCCTCCCTGTAAGCCCTGCCGCACAGCTGGCCACCAGATGTGAGCCCAAAGCTACTTTCTGACAAGGTCACTGAAGTTACACGCCCCTTCCTTGATCCTCCAGGGCACAGGCAGGAGGAAGGCGGGGAAAACAGCACCCGAGGAAATGCCCAAGGCTGCGGCATCACCCCAGAGGGAACGGCAGCACCTTCACAAGGCATCCCCCCCCAAAAAAGCATGGACTGATCCATCATTCCTGGAGGAGGGACCATGGCTTGGTGGTAGAGCCTCTGCTTGGCACGCAGGAGGTCCCAGATTCGACCCCCAGCGCGTGCCGTTGGAAAGGTCAGGTGATGTGAAAGACTTCAGCCTGCGACTCTGGAGAGCCCCTGCCAGTCTGAGCGGACGACCCTGACCGTGACGGACAGGCTGTCCGGTTCAGTACAAGGCCGCTTCATGTGTTCACGTGAGGAGCCCTGCCCTGGAAGTGGGCCTGGACGTGAGAAGGCAGACCCTGTCCTGAAGGCCCGAGAGCCGCGGGCTCACTCCTCGAGACTGAACGCGCAATAAGGGCTTGCAAAGCCATCAGGGAAGGACGGCCCCCGGAGCCGTGGCGGTGGGCCAGGTGCGCGTGGCGCTCTTGGCACCCCACTAAGCCCGGCTGAATCAGAGGGAGAAAAGCACGGGAAACGGAACGGGCCGGCCAGCATCCTGAAAGGGGAGGGGTGGGCAAGGCAGCACAGGGAGACATTCTTCAGAGCAGCCCCCTCAGCCCTGGGCACAGCTGGTGCTCTGCCCAGCCCTCTCCTTCCCTGCGCGTTGGAGAAAGGCTGGGCACTCTGGCGTGCAGGAGGTGCCCCAGACCAGAGGTACAGAAATAGCCCTGGCTTCGGCCTGGCAAGCCCTCCCGGTGGTGTGCGATTCTACTGAGAGCAAATGAACCGATTCAATCCCGGCCCCCTCACGAATGAGGACCGGGGCCCGAGACCGCAAGGAGTCCTAGGCCTCAGCCCTGTCCAGTCAAAAGCACCGCCTGACTAAGAGTAGCCGTTCCCATCCCGTGCCAGGAGAAGGCGGGGGGAAGCACCACAGCCCCCGAAGCTCCAGGCCCTTGGCAAAGCCCAGGGACGGTCCCTTCTCCCTTCGGCTGCAGGACTTTCCCCAGCCCCCTCTACCTGCAGCTTCCCCGCCCCCCTGGCTTCCTTTGGAGAAGACTCCCTCATTCCAAATGCCGCTCAGGTCTGGAGAGAGGCTGCTCCATTCTCAGGCCCCAGCCTCCTCTCCCCTCTCCCCTCCCGTGCTCACCCCAGCAAGCCCCTCGCCAGGAAAGCCTCGGCTCCCCCTCCCCGGCTCCGCTGGAAAGAAGGCAGCTCCTTTGGACTTGGACAGATGTCCAGTGGGGACTTCCCAGGAGAAAGGATCTCCCGATGTTTGGGATACAGGTGGACAAGGGCCCTGGGCTCAAATTCCCACGTCCACCGTGAAAGCTCAATGCATGACCCTGTGCCCATCGCAAACTGACCACCTGGCCAACCTCCCAGGGTTGTTGTTGCAAGAAAAGGAGGAGGAGGAGGAGGAGAGTACAAAGTTCTGAGCCACTTTGAGTCCTGACTGTGGGGAGAAAAATGGGACATGAATAAATGCATCTCTCTCGTCAGGCGGCAGGGAGAATTCCAGCCCAGTTTTTACCCTCTCAAAGTGGCGCAGGAACCTCGCTGAAACTTTCCTCTCCCTTTGGACGGAACGCCCGGCCTGCTGCACTGCTCTAGCCGCTTGCCTTGCCAGGACGGAAAGAGAGCAGGAACTCTGGCAGACCGCTACAGCTCCCCCCAAAAAACCCTTGGGTAATGGCCTGAGGGTGAGCCAAACACCTCTGGCTGTCCACACGCGGAGGGAGGCGTTCCACCCAGGGCTGGGGTAGCGTGAGGGAGCAGAGCCAGTACTGGGGGGCCCACCATGGGACCCAGGGACCTGCCCAGAGACAAGCTACTGGCACAGCAGCTGGCTGGCCAGACCCCTCGCCCTGCTCACTTTCGCTCAGCGCCCCACATTTCAACACACAGAGCTGAAGCTGCTACTGCAAGGCAAAACCCTTCTTGCTTTGTTTCTGGCTTGGAATTTTCCGAGCATGGCCCATCGCTTCAGAATGCCGCCAAACAGGTCAGCCCTAAGGGCACATAGGAGGATGCTACATCAGGACGCGGGTCTCCTCTGTCCCGCCACGCCAGGCTCCCCCCCCCCCTGTGCCCCACGGGGCTCCAGAAGAGAGCCCTCTGATGCCAGGCCAGGGGGACCGGTAGCCAAGGAGAGGGACCTGTTGGGCATACCTCTACAAGGCCAGAAAAACAACAACTGGAGAGCCGGAAAAGGTCACAAACACCCTCCAAGCACAAGAACTGACAGCCACAGAGAAAAAAGCCCCATCCATCCCACTTCACTTCCACCAAGGCTGAGTCCGGTCAGTCTGTGGCCACAATTCGCAGCACAAAGAGACCCCCAGGGGGCACCTAAACTAGATGGCCTGTTCTGCCCAGCACTGTCCTGGACACCCCACCCACCCTCCCACCCTGGTGCTGGCCGAGTTCTGAAATGCCAGCCTCTCAGGAAGCTGCCTGATCCCAGAGCAGACCACTGGCCCATCAGACTGGCGGAGGAGGGGACTCTCCAGGGGCCTCATTGTTTCCCGTCACACACACCCCCACCTGACCCACCTGCCCGGAGATGCTGGGGATCAAGCCTGGGACCTTCGGCGTGCAAAGACGTGCCTGTGCCCCTGAGACACACCACACCAATCTGCCAGGGCATCCAGGTCAGTCCGGACCGCTCGGGCTGCGTGAGATCTCCCGCACTCCCCC